TCTCATCCCCACCCCCAAACCCAATCCCAATGCTACACAACCCTCTGCTGTCCCTGTTATTTTACATGCAGCAGGCTAACTTGCATGATATGTATACATTTTACAGTCAACTTGTATTCGTAACATAGCTCAAACACGTCACCACAGTGTAGATATAATAATAATAATAATAATAATATGCTTCTGCTTATAATCATTCACACTGGTTTACTGCCCATTTTCTCCTGGTACACAGAGGGCGTTATAGAAGATGTAACTGCAACTTCTACAGTTGTTTATTCTTAAAAAGGGGAAATATATTATTATGGCTATATTTATATTTCTTTTGAATAAACATTTTATATTGCTCGTACAAACTAGCTGGAAATGCCTCTGCACACTGAAAGGGTTCAATGGGTTTGAGGAGGAACTTACCATGCTATGCTTTTTTCCCCGAACAGAATCGCAGTGTGAGCGCCCCAGTATACCCGAAGGTAAAAACGGCAATCATGGAACTGCCTCTTGATCCAACGAGGTTTCACGTGCAGAGAGGCTCGGACTACAAGTTTGGTAACGACGAGCGGAGGTTTGTGCAACTTACGCGGAAAAGAAAACATAGTTTGATTCTTTCAATTTCTAATTTAATTTCCATTCGAAGTGAGTGTGTTCTGATGACACATTACAGCTGTGTACTGTTCCGAGGTAAGGTTCTAATTACGGGTCATTCAAAAATCATTATGAACCGTAAGTTAAAGGTCTTTCAGTTTATGGTGTGCCATCTATAATGGACCCCCTCCCACCCCCTTTTCAAGAAAAAAGCAAATTTCTGAAAACATTTACGTATTGAATGAAACCTACCGGAAGGGACCGTAAACATAATTTTTTTCCACAACAATGATAGTGGCAATAATAATTGCATTTGTGTGGGGAATATAGCGCTTTACAGCATGCAATATTGTGTCTTACTTACTGTTATTACTCCAGCAGACCCAAGAACACTCAGAAACAATTTTGGCTTCCGGGGAAATGTGCAGAACATCGCCATTGTCGTCACTGTCATTATTCTTTGATACGTCCAGTCCAACTTCATAATGCTGAGAGGGATTCATTAGCGTTAGGCCTACTCGAGATATACTTCGTATGTTGTCAAAATTCCCCATTCTCCTGATCCCCCCCCCCCACACACACACAGGTACCCTGGTTAAAAGATATTTTGGTGTGGAATAGTTTTCCTGTCCCCTTCATCACTACTAGGTTGTACTCAGCGGTTGGACCCCTAGCTTTACATTTCATATCATATATGACCGAGACAAGTGGGTGGAGGGCCTTGGAAATTAACCAATGATTTTGTAGCCCAAGAACGTTTCAATGGAGATTCGATCCAAGGTCATCTGCGTTTTAGTCTAGCTTGATACCAAACTGATCTATCACGCACAAGAGAGGAGCGATCTTATACTTGGAGAAATAGTACAATACTAAAAGTACTTATTATGTTAAGATAGCTCATTTTTCTTTTAAAACAAAAAAATCTCTGCTCTCTTTTTTTCTTCGCTCTTACCAGTGGGTCAGGTGCTCTTTCTTTGAAATAAAGAATTTGTGACTGTTTTAAAAAATCAAGCATTCTCACACGACATCAGAAACAAAACACGCCTTTCGCCACGCCATCAGCAAACTGAGCCGTGGCGTCGGTGGCCTAGTGGTTTGGCTACCGAACCAGTAATCGTGAGATTGTGGATTCGCGGGTTCGAGCCTCAGCTCGGTCCGACGTTTTGTCTTTGGGAAAGGCGACTTTACACGAATTTCCCATTTGGTTTGGTCCTTTCGGAGATGGACGTTAAACGCGGAGGTCCCGTCTCTTAAATAACCAAATAGTGTTGATACGGGCGTTAAAACTGCTTCCAGTTAACTCGTCACACGGTGAAGTCGTCACATACCTCCAGTGATCTCGTCACAGTTATCTCGTCACATACTCTAACTTGTGAAAAACATGTGCAAACCTTTAATTACTAACATTTAAAAAATATAAAACCAGAGTTTATTCAATCAAAATCTACACAGGTTAACCTTCCTGTTTCAACATTTTAAAGAGAACACGGACACATTTTGGGGTGCAATATATAAAACCTGTTAAAATGTGCTTGTCCTTACTGTGTGCAATAAAACAATTAATCTAAATGGTACAAGATGGCAGGTGGAGGTGGTGTGACGAGTTCACTGTTTTTTGGATGTTTTACTTTTCGGTGAACTCGGCACACGTTTTTCAGTTGTGTCGACTTCACGTGTGACGAGTTCACTGGTACCCGTTTAACCTATACCATTTCACCATTTCACCAGCAAACTGAGCGAGCATCAGCGGGCGTTCGGACGGAACGACGACCTGGAAGACTTCTCTGGGAAACTGGCGCGCGGAGAGGCCGGAGACGTGGGCAAGAAGATGAAAGCTCTAGAGAGGCAGTCCAACGTCTTCAGGACAGGCGACTACAACGGAGCACGTGAGTGGGTTTTTTTACAAAAGTTTATTATAAACCATACTTTCTTTTCTTTTTTTCTCCTTTTCCTTTTTGTTTACAAAATAACAAAACATTTGTTTCGATTAGTTTCTTTTTAAGTATTGTGACCCAGATGTGGATGATTTGCAGACGCTCTTCCTTCGCTCGTTCCTTTCTTCCTATCACAGATTTGTCGCCCTTATCTCTACTCCTTCTTTTCCTTGTATGTTACTCTCTAGTATCACCTTTAATATTCGGCACTTGTATGACCTATTTGTGTTGCAAGTGACGTAAAAATGTTACCAAGACTAAAGATGACAACTATATCCAATTGCTCTGTTGTTTCAATCTGTTAGATTTTTGTTATTTCCCTCTTCCTGCCATTCTTCTTTCCTTACTAATTTCAATTTATCCAAAATTCCGAAAATGTTTCCGGATGTCACATGATCAAATAAAATATACTCTACATAATGCACATAGAAAGTATTGATGTAAGCAGAGTATTCTACAGTTATTTAAGATATTGCGTTTACTAAGTGTCATGTAAATGTGTATTATATTTTGAAGAGTCATCTCATTTCCATCATCGAGTGCAGTATTTTTACTTCAACTATTTCTGTGATTCTCTTTCATGCTCAGTGGGCAACAAAGAATCAACAACAGTGAATGATTTCGGCCCACGAACCCGTCCCCCGGCTGAGGTCTTCTCAAAGACTATCGGGTGAGTCATCTTTTCTACACAGCCTCATCACGATTTCAAACCTCCAACTAACTTTGAGTCTTAGTAACGGTTTTACGGCACTTGCAACAGAAATAAGTCATAAAAAGTGTCAGAGTTTAGATGTGCTACTAGAGAGTAACATAACAAAGAAAAGAAGGAGGAGCAATAAGGACGATAGATGAAAACTTCCACGATGACGTATCGCTACCTTAGAACTACAAAGTTATCTGACATTTCTGGCCGTTTACACTTACTCAGACCAAGAGGTCAGAAATCAAAAGTTCTATCTGCTCTATTAAAATAGTAAGGTTGTTCGGAGTCGTTGTCAAGATATTTAACGAAATGCATTCGAAAACGCTTGACATGTGGAGCAACTCAAAGACAAATATTTTAACGCCCCCCCC